CGGAGCCCCCGGCCGGTGGCCGGCGGGCCACCCCTGGGGAGTCAGGCCCCGCCCCGCGGAGGATGCGCGCCCCGCACCCTGGGTCTCAGGCGGCGGCAGATGTTAGTCCCCGGCGCCCACGCAGCGGGGTGGGGGACCTGCCGGAGGCGGGGTGCGAACCAGGAGCCTAGAGCAGGGTTCGAACCCGGGGTCAGGCCCGGCTCCGGACACTCGGGCGCGTGGGCATCGTGAGCCTTCTTCCCCGAGACTCCTTGGCTTTCATCAAATACCCAGAGTCTGACATATCACCCCCCCAACCCACGCCCAACACAAAACTGCCCTCTTGCAATTTAGGGACGAAGGCGTGTACTAGAACCTACAACGTGATTTAAAACGTTAAACACTGAATAGGTAATCAGCTCAAAGACCCGATTTTCACTGGCTAACGTCCCGCGCGGGGAAGAGCAATCAGAAGGTGAGCCGTGCTTCGGCGGAGCGCGTCTAGACGCCAGGCTGTTTGATTAAGGCTACCTGGCCCCAGGTGGGGCACCGGAAGGCGCTGAGACACCGGCAAAATCAGGTTTGAAATGCAAACCGCTGCCACTTGGCCCCAGTTAGAGGCCAAACCTTTTATGTAAACAGGAATAATTAGCTTTGGTAATGGAAGCGTAAACAGAATCATCATCCATTGATTCGCTAATTGCTCTTCTGTCCCATGACAATAACCTGTAGGTCCGACAGACCCTGCGCACCTGAGGCACAGGTAAAGGGGGACTGAACTCCCAAATGGGGGGACACCCATTCCCGGCCATGCCCGCAGCCCCCAGGTCCAACTGGCTCTCAGAGCCCTTTTCTTTCTGGCTGTAAATGCAGTTCTTCTGAAAGAAGGGAGGGCCAGGGTCACCGGTTTGGGTGGCAAAGTCCTGGTGGGGGTGGGAGAATTCAAGATGCTGTGGAAAGGAGTGGTGGCTCCCAGGGGGCCAGCTGGGCTCATTAAATTCCTGGACTCTGCAATTCCTCAAAGAGTTGCCCATCTTCAACCCAGAACTCACCAGCCCCAAAGTCCTCTTCTTGGGAGCAATTGCCCAACCCTTATCCCTCTCTCCTGGTGCCTTCGTGTTCAAAGTCAAGTTGTGTGAATCCCATTCATTGAGGCACAGCCGGTTAGATTCCCAGTTTGCAAGATGCCTGGAAAGTCACCCAGAGGCCAGCACGGGTGGCCTCTAGCCCCACCACAATCCATGGGCATATCCAGCTTGCAGGGGCAGGGGGACCAGCAGAAACTTCTCACGGAAGCCCTTGGGGCAATGTGATGCCATAAGCACCAGGCAGCTTCCTCAACTCCTGAGTTTACTATATGGGAGGGACCTAGGGATGGCAATGCCCCCACCCCGCTCAAAAGCTAGATTTGCATAGCACTTAACACAGCATTGGGAAAATGTCACAAATGTCCACATCAAAGCCTGGGACCACCCACTGTGCAAGCCAGGAGGAAAGGAAGGTTGCAGCCTCCTAGCCGGCCCTAGGATCCCAGGATCTCAAGGCTGCCGGGCCCTCAGCAGCACCTGGGAAGGTGTGGCAGCCATGGTGACAGCCTGGATCTGTCCAGAGAGGGACCCACCCACTTTCTGTGGAGGCTGCCGGTCGTGACCAGCCTTATCACCCTCCCTGGGCTCGGTGCTGAGGCAGCCTGAGATGGAAGAGATACTGCGTCCTGATACCCTCCCCTCCCCAGCCCCCATCCACCTCCTCCCTGGCCCAGAGGCAGTACCTTTGTCAAGGACGGGCCCGAAGATCGCCAGGCTGTCGTCTATGGTGGTGCAGTTCCAGCGGCGGCCCCGGAACTGGTGCTGGCACTCCTGGATGCCCAGCTTCACGCCCTCGGCCACGCTGGGCATGATTTCGATGTAATTGCGGCAGAAGCGCAGCTGCTTGGGGACTAGGCCTGGGATGGAGCCGCAGAGCAGGGGCTGGGAGCCCAGGGATGTATACTGCTGGCCCAGGGCCAGGGACCTGCGGGCACACAGAGGGCAGTGGCACTGAGGCACAAAGCACACGGCCCATCCTGGGCGTCAGTTCTTCCTCAGGAGCCCTCTGGGGCAGGGGGAGCCGCAGAGGGCCTGTGAGCCTGAACCCACGGCCCTGAGAAACCTGGCACTGGAATGCGCTGCCTTTGACCTCTGGAGTACACTGCCCCTTGAGGGGCAGCTCTGATCCAGGCAAAGTCAGCCCTCTGACATGGGCGTATCCAGCTTGCAGGAGCCTGGGGGCCAGCAGAAACCTCTCATGGGGGCAATGCAAGCCCATGAAAAGAACTCTGGACTGGAAAGATGGTATTGGGGGCCCAAGTCCAGTCCGTCCCAGGCTCTGGGCTAGTTTCCCGGATGGGCATTGGAGGGGACAAGCTGGGAGTCTAGGTTTCTGGGGCCACATGGAAACTTCTAATGATGCATGTCAAGGAACCCAAACCTAAAGAGAGGAAGGGCAGGAGCTGGAGGACCCCAGCCCCCTCTCAGAAAAAGTGGCAAGTAGAGAAGACCCAGTCCCAGCAGGGAGCTTGCACATGCGTGTGCGTGTTTGCACACGTGCACACACACAGACACATACACACAGAGGCCACCCATGGCAATGCCCCTCAGCCTCTTCCCCAGGAAAACACCCGCCAGCCCAGAGCCTCCCAGTGTCTCCCCAGGGAATCCATGGCTCACACCCGGTCCTCTGTCCTTTGTCCACCAGGGCCTCCATAACCATCCTAGCAGCTTGCTAGAAATTTCTGGAGCACCATCTCTTCTCTCACCAGAGACTGGAGCTTGCCTTTGTGTCAAGACAAGTTCAGCTCAGGGTTGGAGGGAGGAGACCTCAGATCATACTCCTCCCACTCTACACCATGTGACCTTGGTCAAGTCACCTCACTCTTCTGCGCCTCATTTTTCAATCAATATCCTGTCAACCACTCAGGTTTTATAGTCAACAGAAGGAAAGATCTTGTGAAGAGCTGGGGAGGAGAAACAAGAGTTTAAAATACCAGAAACACAAGGTGCTGCTCTTCCTCTCTCCCCTGACACAGGGACAGCAGGAATGACATTTTGTGGGAGAAGCTGAGAAGACGATCCTGGGGTCTCAGTTGACTTCAAGGCCAGTTGCGATTAGCCCTGTGATCAGAGACCACATGAGCTGGAAGAAGGAATGCGTTGGGCCCATCTCCTCTCCCTTTATATCCAGCACTGACTAAGGCTCTGGTCTGGCAGTGGCCTCCATTGAGTCTCCCACGTAAAGTGAGGGCAGAAGCCTTGGGAGGAGGGTCCAGAAGCCCCCAGGGGCAGATCAGGAAAAAGCACACAGAAGCTTTCGGGACTAGACACGGGGATGAACCAAACGTCTGCCATTTATCAGCTCTTACCTTGTGCTCCGGACAGGCACCATGGCTGGGTGGGGTGGCCATCCCCCTTGGGCTGGCTCTAGGCTCAGTTGTTTGTTTATTCTAGAGGAGGGGATTGGGGAGCCAGATCTGGGCATTTGGATGGTAACATTTACGAGAAGTTTCCAGATTTTGAGCGCCGAGCCCTTTGAGAGAGAAGAAAGGGGCACCCTGCGGGCCTGCTCACCACTGAGACTGGCTGACGACTGACCTCCTCTGGGCTATGCGCAGGGTCGGCCTTTCCTTGGGTTTGCCTCACTGAATCCTTATAAAAGCCCTTTGACATAGGAGGGTTGCTAGGGCAGCCTGGTTCTCAGATGGCATAGCCTTGCAGGTGAGTAACCAGCCCAGACCACAGAGCCACTAAGGAGTTGCTCATTGGAATGAAGCCATCTGACTCCAGAGCCCGTGGGGCACACCACTGTGCCAGCCTGCCTTCTGGGCAATGCCTGCCTGGGTCCTGAGCAGTGCGAGTGGCTGCAGGCCTCGCTCGTCTGCACCCTGGGCCTCACTGCTGAGCCCACGCCTGAGTGAGATAGAGCAGGTCAGCCCAGAGCCCCCAGTGGGCACATGGCACACACAGCAGCAGATGGGCCCTGCAGGCCGCCCTCTCCTGCCCCTGCCCTGTTTACGAGTATAAACTGGTTACCATGATAATAATGATAATCAAATGCCTATCGTTCATTATGTGCTGGGCCCATTCTGAGTGCTCATGTCTCTTTCTTTATGTGAACCTCACAGTAGTTCTATGAGGGAGGAACGTCATTATCATTGTCATCATCTCATTTCATAGACGAGGAAACTGAGGCCAGGAAGCTAAGTAAACCGTGAAGGTCAGAGTTGGGCCTCCCTCCCAGTTCAGGCCGCCTCGCCAGGTGCTCCTAACCAGCACGGCCAGCCCTGCCCTGCCAGCTGCCCCAGCAGCGCTGCAGTCACTGGAGAGGGAAACTGAGCCAGGGTTCAGGGAAGACGACTCACCATAGGGCCATCCCGGGAGGGCAGCTCAGTAGCAAGCCCCCGCTGCGAAGAAGCCCAGGCCTTTCCCACTCCCTTCTCTGACGTTTAGGACCTGAAGCCCTATATGGGGCAGCCAGAGAGGGGAGCTAAGGCCGGAGAGGGGACTCTGCCATCTCCATGGCCCCATCTGGCTTTGGTCCTGAGTGTGGGGCCACGAGGGCCCCTCTCAAGGAGTGTGGTGGTGATTCTCTTCCCCTCCCCACGCCCTGCCTGGTCCCTGGCTGTCCCAGAGCAGCATGGGGAGACCTGGCACCCACTTCCCAGCCTCAGTGTCCCTCCCTTTTGTCCAGAGCACTCCACAGTCTCCCTACCACAGATGCCTCTGCCCATGCCTGTTCCTGGAGATGTGGACTGGCCCTGAGGCGCCCACGCTCTCCTTCAGCCTGGCCTCCCGCCTTCACTGCACACTCCAACCTGGGCAGGCCTGTCCCACCATCACATCTGACCCCAGGGTTATGTCCCATGTGGACCCCCATTTATTGGTCTTTCACCAGGCAAGCCGGGGCCCCGAGGATCCAGCCCCCCTTTGCTCAGAGAGGTGAAAGTGAGGCCCGAGGGGCACTGAGGTACCCCTCCTATACCCCTTCCCCCCATGACTTTCCCTCCTCCTCATTCCTCGCCCTCTCCCATCCTCCACCCCACACCTGTCGGCACCTGTGCAGGCCTGGGCACCCTCAAGCTAAGCTGAGCTGTGAAGGCAGAAGCCTTGGGAAGAAGGTCCAGAAGACCCCAGGGGCAGATCAGGAAAAAGCGCACAGAAGCTTTGAGAGGAGAACCTGTGAGAGGAGCCTTAAACGTACACAAGCCCATCGTACAGATGAAAAAGCAGAGGCCCACAGAGAAAAATGGCTTGCCCAAGGCCACACAGCCAGATCCACGGAGCCAGGTTAGGCTGGCTACCACAGCAAGGAAGGGGGGCTGAGGCGTGGCGAAGCCCCCCTGATCTTCATTTCCACTCAGTTGAGGCTGCTCCTCATCCCAACCCTCCAAGGGGCTCCCTGCTCCCTGCTTTCACCAATTCCCTCCCAGTGGGTCCCAGGCAGGCCTGCCCAGTTGGCCGTAAAGGCCAGAGTTGCTCTGGTAGGGAGATGCCAGGGTCCCCTCCACTCCCCTGCGGGGCACCCAGGCCCTGATGGCCGAGCCCTTCCTACTGCTTGGTTGCAGCCTTTCCTCCGCCCCGAGGGGATTCCTCTTGTCCTCTGCAGTCACATTCAACACTAGCAATCATAAGGACACCATCTATTTAGCACTTACGTGCCAGGCTCTTCACATGTATTATCTCGTTTAATCCTCACAACTGCTCTGTGGGGTGGGCGTTGTCATCCGTTTTACAGATGAGAAAACTGAAGCACAGGGAAGTTGGGTGACTGACACAAGGTAGTGGCGGAGCCAGAATTCAGACCCCGGCTTTGCCTGACTCCAAGTGTGGGTCCTCCGAGAACAACTCCCAGCCTCAGAGATGATGGGGTCTTTTCCCTCCTCCCACCAAACCCAGTCTCCTGCCCGCTGCCCAGGTCGCACCAACTGTGCCCCTGGGAGCCAGGCTGCCCCTGGTCAAATCCAGCTCTGCCACTTCCCAGCTGCGGATCTCAAGCAATTGACTTAACCTCTCTCTGCCTCAGTTTCTTCATCTGTAAAATAGACGTAATGGGAGGAACACATGATATAGAGCACCTGGCACATGGGAGGCCCCCAATAGATAGTGGTTGTTGTGGTTATCAGGTGATAGGGGCTGTCCCCAGCATTTGTCCCCTGTCCTGTCATCAGCCTCTCTCCTCCCACCCTCCCATCCCCAACTTGATAGAACACATTTGGATCAGAGCAGAGCCGGCCCCTTCCCCGGCCCCTCAGTCCTAACCAGGGTGGCTGAACAGACATTTGGGATCCGGCTGAGTGTTAAAGGTGACCCGAAGGGCAAGGGCATAAGCACATTTCCAGGATGCTCCAGTCAAGGGCTACAGCTCAGATCTGGACATCCCGCCGGGAATTAGCAGGGGCACCTGGGAATGGGGGTTTAGCTCTACGGGCTGGTGTTGGGGCTAACGAGGCTCAAGCTATGGGATTGATTTCTTCAGGACAGCTGCCCACCCCAAACGTGCCCTGCCGCCCCAGACCCGGTGCCTCTCACCGCACACCGCGCATGTCTGAAATCCCACCCCACAGACGCGCTCGTTTAACTCTCTACTCCTTGCCCCCATTATTAAAGGGCACTTTCCGTCGGGGAGGTGGCACAGTGAGCCTCATTCTCCTCAATTCTTCATACCAGAGTGTGAGTGCTTTGATTCGATTCGCCCAGGCTGCTGCAGGACTTGCAGCCTGGCTGTTTCACACCTCCGTGCCTTTGCGCATGGCGAACCCTCCACCTGGAGTGCCTCTCCACTGCCCAGGCCCCTGGCAAACATCTTACCCACCCTTCAACCTGATTCCTGGGTCGCCTCCCTTCTAAAGACTCCCAGACACAAGTGACCTCTCCTCCCTCTGGATTTTTCCTCCACCTTCTTCAAAACTTCTTCTCTCAAAGTGCTGAGCTGATTCGTTTCCAATTCCATCTGGCTGCGCTGGTGTAAGTTCCCTGAGGATAGAGGTTGTGTCTCCTCCCATTCTCCCCAACACCTCCCCCCATATCTCACACACACACACACACACACACACACACACACACACAGATGCGAGCACACTTGGCCTAGCAAAGGGCCAGGCCCACGACAGGTACTTGCTGATTCTCAGCGGAAGGAGTGAAGGAAGAGCTCCTTACCCAAAAGGCCAGTCGGAGCCTCCCCATCTTGCAGCCCCTCAGCCCTACTCCCCAGGCCTCCAGGCATCCGGAGGTTCCGCCTACACACAGGACAAGACTCCTCGGTTCCGCTGAGGAAGTTCCTAAGTTCCTACGTGTAGGACCTGAGACAGCGGCTAGGCTCCCAAGGGAGCTAGGGACCTGCCTGGCGCCGGCAGCTGGTGAGGGGGAGGGTGGAGGGCACTGCCAGGCCTTCCTAGCTGGGCGGGGGCTATTTATACCCAGCTCCCGGCCCTGCCCTGCCCCAGGGCCCTGCCGCCCTCCCCTGAAGACAGCTCATCCTCCACCCCAAACACCCACCACCCAGCTGGGCCGAGGACAGACACGGGCAGCCAGGTGGAGGGAGCAACAGGCTGCTCCTGAGACCTCGATGTTGACCTCTCAGGGTGAAATCCCCTCTCCAAATAGGCCAGACTTAAATATTGTGCACAACCTCATGCGACTCCCACCTCCAGGCAAACTATTCACTTCTCCCCGACAACACGTTCTGTCTCCGGAGGGCTGGAGGCAGGCCTGCATGGTGAGCACAGGGCAGAGAGAAAACTTGCAACCAAAGAATCCAGGTCAGCCTAGATGCTGAATTGACTCACGCACGTAACATAGTGAGACACTGACAAGTGCCCCGCGCGGTGCGTCCTGTCCGGAGACCCCGGCATTGTGGGCCCACAGATTCTGCCATCCACCAGCAATGACCCGCCCCTTGCCGCCTGACCGCAGGCTGACCACATGCTGCAGGGGTGCACGCTGCGCTGTCCCTGCCATGCTGCCCTCACAGGCCATTCGGGAGGCCTCCCCCGCACCCTAACCTGTCTGTATTTTTCACCTTGGACCCTCCCAACATTATAGGAGTTGAGAGACTGGAGGGGCTTCAGGAGTCATCTAGTTCAGGGTATTTCATATTTTTTAGCTATTTTTTCCAAATACACAATCTCCCCCCCCTTGTACATAAAACAGATAAAAAGAGGGGTTTGTTCCTCAAAAAGCTAAACATAGAATTGCCATATGACCCAGCAATTCCACTCCTAGGTGTAGTCCGAAGAGAACTGAAGCAGGGACTCCATAGATACCTGTACACGGGCGTCCATGGCAGCGCGGTTCACGACAGCCGAAAGGGGGAAACAACCCAAGCGTCCATCAGCAGATGAATGGACAACACAATGTGGTCTATCCACACACTGGAATATTATTCGGTCA